GCCAATTTCCTCCAAGGAATGGAGCCAGAAGCACAGGAAGAACAAGCAGAGGGCACAGGAAGGGACAGGAGACAAGAGAGTGCCAGGAGAGGCAAGGGGGCATTTCAGGTACACACAGCAGGTGCTCCATACATGCTGAGTGAGAGTAGGCGGAGACCAGAAAGCGAGGCCAAGAGGAGGAGGTAGAGTCTGAGGGTAGAGGCCACAGCTCGGCCTCCTGGTGGCTGCCCCTCCCCCCAGGGCCCAGCCTACCCTCCAGCTGCCTCGACTGGAGCCAGGACAAGGGTGCATTGTCCGGGGCCTGGCACGGCCTGGCGGGAGGGAAGGGGCTGCCCTTGTCTGCTGTGTCCGGGGCAGAGGATGGGGGTGTTGGGGCACCACCTTGTCTCTGAATCTGTCTCTGGCTCTGCGTCTCCCCGTCTCTGAGTTTACATCTCCCATCTCGCTCTTTGTCCTGCCGTCCCACTGTCTCTCCCTGTCTCTGGGTCTCCTGCATCTCTCTCTCCGTCTCTTTCCCATCTCTCCATCTGTCTCCCAGGCCTCTGTGTCTTGCTGTCTCTGGGAGGGAGGGCCCCCAACCCCAGCCCCGGTTCTGGCCCCCCCACCCACCTGGGATCAGGGCGGGGGTGCCGAGCTCAAAGGCAGAGGAGTGAGGAAGGGAAGAAAGATGCGAGAGGAGCGAGAGAGGTGAGGACAGAAACAGCTTTATTCAGCAGAAACCGCCGCCGCAGAGGGCCGGGGGCGGAGCCTCCATCGGAGAGCTGGAGAGAGAGGTGGGGTCAGGGAGAGAGACCAAGAGAGACAGAGACGGAGACAGAGAGACAGAGACAGGGAGAGAGACAGGGAGAGAGAGGGAGGGAGCGAGACAGGGAGAGAGACAGAGACAAAGACAGAGAAAGGGAAAGGGAGAGAGACAGAAGCGGAGAGGTTGAGGGACCAAGAGAAATAAAGGAGAGACAGGCGGGAGGAGAAGTCAGAGATGGAGAGAGAGATGGGAAGACAGAGAGAGGCAGAGAGAAAGTCAGGAAGAGAGAAATGGAAAGAGAGTCAGTGACAGAGACACACGGAAAGAGACAAAGAGATAAGAGAGATAACGAGACATGGAAGACAGACAGGTAAGAGAAATGATGAGGGAAAGGGAGGAAGGACAGAGGCAGACACATTTAGGAACAAGAGCGGGAGACAAGTGCAGAGCAGGAGGGGTGGAGATGAGGGGACACAAAGAAAGACTGAAGGAGAGACGAGAGAGACAGGGAAAGAGTGAGAAAGAGAGAGCCCAATGAGCTGGAACCGCTGTGCGGGCGGGACTCAGGGAAGTCGAGGAAGGACGCACCCCTCTCACCTGGCGTCGGTGTCGGCAGCCCCCCAGGCCCGGCCGGCCAATTTAAGGGGTGCCCTGGGGGCGGGACCGCTCTCCCCCACACCGCCTTATCAGGTCAGCCTCTGGCTCTGCGAGCTAAATCGGGCCTCAGCTGTCAGCACCATAGGACGCAGGACAGCTGTCACCCCGCCTGCACCTGTCCTGTGACCACAGGGCCCCCTCCTTCCCTCCCCTCCTGATGCCGGGTGGGGCTGGGAGGGCTCTGCGGGTCTGCATGGGCGCCCCTGGAGCCCCCACCACCCACGCTCTGGGACCAGCCTGGCTGGGCATTCTTTGGCGAGGGATAGCCTGAATCAGGTATTGCTGCCATTTGACGCGGGGACGGGCCAGCAGGTGGGGGTGTTCTGCACACTATGGGCAAATCGTGAGTGCGCAGGCCCCGTGCCCGGCAGGGTTACCACCGATGCAGGGCTGGGAACCAGCCTTTTCCCCGCCCTCCCTGGCTCCTCGAGGGCTCGGACCATATTAGGCCACAGCTGCGAAGGCACCTGGGGAGGTCACTCAGGCCCCAGAATAGAAGCACTTAGGGAGTCTGCCAGGCTGTCTGGGACAGGGTGGGACAGGCGACAGGCACAGAGGGAGGAGGGGGCCCCAGGGGGCCAAGGGAGACAGGCAGAGAGAGAGAGACAGGGGCCCGAAAGGGACACAGAAACATCCAGAAAGAGAGACCAAGAGAGGGACACAGATGAGGACAAAGGGCGTCAGAGACCCAGACTGGGGAGAGAGAGCGAGCTGGAGAGAGGCGGGGGAGGAAGCCCGGGCTGGGCAGGGTGGGGGGTGGGGGGTGGCGACCACCCCCAGAGCTGGCGTGTCCAGGGACCACAGCCATTTTTCCCCCCTCATGTGCTGACTTTTCACTTTACAAGTTGCCCTTTGACCTCTGGAAGTCTTGGGAACCAGAACTTGCCAAGCCCAAATCCCCATATCAACAGGAGCTTTTATGAGAGCGTCTTGCTGGCATCTGCTCCCCGCCTTCTTTGGGGTGTCAGAGTTTAACTTGTGTCCTTGGTTGAATTTACTGTCCAGGTGGAGCCAAGCCTGAGGCTTAATGGGGGAGACACGCCCCAAGCTGGGCCCGCCTGTCTCTCCCAGCCCACGGCCTCCCTGTGTCTCTGGTCTCCCATTTCAGTCTGGCACCTAACAGGGAACCCCACTTTTGCCCAGGCCCCTCTCTTCCTCCCTGGGCTCACATACACTCAAGTCTCCTAGGACAGGCCTGTGACCCCTGAAGCCATCTCCCTAGTCCCTAGTCCACCTCCCATGATGTCACCTGCCCTCTCACATCCCTTACATGCCAGTAAGCACGGCATGTCCCCCAAACCCACTCCTCCTCCCAGGGCCCCACCTGTTGAAAGTGGCCCCACTGTTCCCTGGGTCCCAGGGCCAGGCCCCTGGGTACCTTCTTCCCTCCCCGCTCTCCCTCATTCCCAGAGCCTGCCGGGCCCAGAGCTCTCCTCTCTCTGTCAACTTTTCTGTCCCCAAGGTCCTGGCTCAGGCCTCGTCCTCTCCCATCTGGACCCTACAGCCTCCTCTCAGGCCCGTCTGCAATCTGCCCCCACACAGCCCTAGAGGAGTCTTTCCGTACCCAGGACTGACCTGCTCCCCATGCTCACAGCCCCCTCACCTCCCACCGCTCAGCCGTCCCTTGGAGGTCCTGTGGGTTTGGGCCTAGCCAGGATCCACCCTTATCTTGCATCACCTCCTCAGATAACTACAGGGCTAATGGCCTCCCTCGTGTTCTGGGTCTCATTCAGAGTTGTTTTCAATTCTGGAAAGGCCCCCCTCCTCCCCTCCCCCCCCCTTTCCCTCCCACTGGCTCTCTGGAGAGCCCCCCTCAGCCTTCTAGAGCCAGCCCCCCAGGTCCCCTGGCCCCTGGAGCACCCCCCAAGGAACCCATGGACCCGCTAAAGCCACTCCCCCTCCCCACACAGGGGGTCTTCGTGTCCCCTTGTATTTTCCTCCCCACCTGAGCTGGGGAGGGCACGAGCTGGGCTGCACAGGCCAGACCCAGAGCTGGGACTCAGGAGATGAGTTCAAGGCTGACAGTACACGGAAGATGCAGGAAGGGACAGCAGGCCCTGAGGGGAAGGACACAGAACAGGAGGGGGCCTGCTCTAGTGAGAACGTGGAGAGAAGACAGCTAATGGGACCCTGTCCTTGCTCTTCTCAAATCCCTGCTGCCCGTGCTGGGCACCATCTTTCCCCTCCTTTCCTCTCTCCTTCCACACTAGGCACAGGCCAGCCCCAGGGCCTTTGCACTAGCTGTTCTCGCTTCCTGGAATGCCCATAGCTCTCTCTCCCCTTCTTCCAGTCTTTGCTCAAATGACACCTTCTCCGTGAGGCCCATCGCCCTAAATAAACCCTAACAACACTGCGTTTGTTTCCCACAGCTGCTCTAACGAAGTTCATGGCTTAAAACAATGCACGTTTATTCTTTTAACACTTGTGGTGGTCAGGAGTCCAAAATTAGTCTCTCTAGACTAGAGTCAAGGTGTGGGCAGCACCAGTTCTTTCTCGGGGTCCGGGGAGAGAGTCTGCTTTCTAGCCTGTTCCATCTCCTAGAAGTCGCTCTCATTTCCTGGCTCATGGCCCCTTGTGTCTTCCACGCCCCCATGTGGCATCTTTCAGACCCTGCCTGCTTCCTTCTTCATGTCTTTCTCTGGCTTTCCTCTCCTGCCTCCCTCTTCACCTTTCAGAACCCTCATGGTTCTTCAGAGAGTGCAGCATCCTTTCCCTATCTCAAGGTCAACTCCCAGAGCAACCCTGACTCCCTCTGCAGCCTTCACTCCCCTTTGCCATGT